GAGAGTGAAGGCGAGCTGATGAAGCTCACAGAACCCGGGAGGAAGAAGATGCTGACGGAATGACAAACTCCAGGTACCGCCAAGACGGATGCCCAAGAATCTTATGGCAGCAATCCTCTACCTATCTTTGCGTTTCTTCAAGTCCTAAGCCGCAACAATGGATCCTCGCGGCGCACGGCTGTTGACACAGCTCGGAACAAGACATCTAAAAGACATCCGATCGGATGCTTTTCAAAAGAGACGCGATTCCGAGGCCTCTGAGAGCTGCCGAGCCGAGGAGCCCAGAGATTGGAGATGCTATAAGTGTGATGCTGGGGTTTCTGGCAAGCCCCCAGAAGAGATAGGGCAAGGCACGTACAACACAAGAGGCACAAAAGACACAGAAGGCACGACGGACAAGTGACACGACGCGCCCCGAGGCTGCTCTGTCCTGCACACCTCAGCACTGTGAACAAAAGTGAGGCTCTCCCACCGTGCGGCCTAAGGGGCCACAGCCTGGACCTCCCCGTCCCCAAAGCTGACTCAAAAATCCCAGGTCACATGTCCCGTCCCGGCACCCTGCTTTCATCCTTTCCGCGGGTCGTAGCCTTCGACTCAGCTCTCGCATGCCCGGCAGGGTGGATCCACACGGGGTGCGAAGGAAGGCCGCCTCGCCATCTGGAAAGTTCCTGCCATTGCCAGGATGTCGTCTCCTGGTCAGCTACAACCAAGAAGACAAAATATCAATGCAGGAGATTAGTGCCACATCTGTGAAAACCCAGCACTTACCTTCTCTAGAGAATACCCAGGTTCATGGGCTGCACACTTCACCCCACAGGGAGGCAGAGGCTTGCTTCAAAGCAGTATTGGCTGACAGCCAAATGACCACCACCTCAAGGAGGGGAGGAAGACTCTCCAGTCAGTGAGGGACAGAAAGCCCAGGGTACCCCAAGGAGAGAAACCCCAGCTTATATGACAGCAGTAGGCCCTAGCACTCACTATCGCTTCCTGGCTGGCCCTAGCACCAGGGGTACTGCCTGCACCTCTTGAGGGTTCTGGCACTCTGCTGCTTTAGGGTTCCTGCCTGCAGCTGTCTCAAGGAAACGGGAGCGCTGTTAGGGCTACTCTTTAGGGTTTGAAGAGTCCTGTACTCTATCTTCTATCCCAACCTATACCCCTTTTATTTTCACTGTTTGTTTCCAGCCCTCGAGCCCTTGACCTCTGAAGCCCTCCCTCAGCCTCTCTGTGTCACTGCCAAGCTGCCCCACTGAACCCTACAAACTTACAACCCTACGCTTGCAACCGGGGATGCTCCTTATCCATAGGCCCCAAGAGATGTCCCTTAGCCCGGACCAGGCAATCCACAGTTGCTCCCTACCCTACCTAAGTTTGGCCCTGAGACAGGGCAGAGGCTGACAGAGCCGAACTCTTTGCGGAGGCCAGGCACGAAGCCTTACCAACCGCCGCCTCGAGGAGGGGTGGGAGCAATCCCCGGCTGCGGAGGGACAGAGAGCCCAGGGTGGGGCGGGGCGGGAAACCCCCTGTTTCCCCAACCCTGCGGATCGTCCCCCCACTATCTCTTCCTGGCTGGCCCTAGCACCAGGGGTACTGCCTGCACCTCTCGTGGGTTCTGGCACTCTGCTGCTTTAGGGTTCCTGCCTGCAGCTGCCTCAGGGAAACGGGAGCACTGTTAGGGCTGCTGTTTCGGGTTTGAATAGTCCTGTACTCTACCTTATATCCCAACCTGTACCCCTTTTATTTTCTCTGTTTGTCTCCAGCCCTCAGGCCCTTGACCTCTGAAGCCCTCCCTCAGCCTCTCTGTGTCACTGCCAAGCTGCCCCACTGAACCCTACAAACTTACAACCCTACGCTTGCAACCGGGGATGCTCCTTATCCATAGGCCCCAAGAGATGTCCCTTAGCCCGGACCAGGCAATCCACAGTTGCTCCCTACCCTACCTAAGTTTGGCCCTGAGACAGGGCAGAGGCTGACAGAGCCGAACTCTTTGCGGAGGCCAGGCACGAAGCCTTACCAACCGCCGCCTCGAGGAGGGGTGGGAGCAATCCCCGGCTGCGGAGGGACAGAGAGCCCAGGGTGGGGCGGGGCGGGAAACCCCCTGTTTCCCCAACCCTGCGGATCGTCCCCCCACTATCTCTTCCTGGCTGGCCCTAGCACCAGGGGTACTGCCTGCACCTCTCGTGGGTTCTGGCACTCTGCTGCTTTTAGGGTTCCTACCTGCAGCTGTCTCAAGGAAACGGGAGCACTGTTAGGGCTACTGTTTAGGGTTTGAATAGACCTGTACTCTACCTTATATCCCAACCTGTACCCCTTTTATTTTCACTGTTTGTCTCCAGCCCTCGAGCCCTTGACCTCTGAAGCCCTCCCTCAGCCTCTCTGTGTCACTGCCAAGCTGCCCCACTGAACCCTACAAACTTACAACCCTACGCTTGCAACCGGGGATGCTCCTTATCCATAGGCCCCAAGAGATGTCCCTTAGCCCGGACCAGGCAATCCACAGTTGCTCCCTACCCTACCTAAGTTTGGCCCTGAGACAGGGCAGAGGCTGACAGAGCCGAACTCTTTGCGGAGGCCAGGCACGAAGCCTTACCAACCGCCGCCTCGAGGAGGGCTGGGAGCAATCCCCGGCTGCGGAGGGACAGAGAGCCCAGGGTGGGGTGGGGCGGGAAACCCCCTGTTTCCCCAACCCTGCGGATCGTCCCCCCACTATCTCTTCCTGGCTGGCCCTAGCACCAGGGAACTGCCTGCACCTCTCGTGGGTTCTGGCACTCTGCTGCTTTAGGGTTCCTGCCTGCAGCTGTCTCAAGGAAACGGGAGCACTGTTAGGGCTGCTGTTTAGGGTTTGGGGTGGGGTACACCTGAACTCCACCTTACCTATACCCCTTCTTTTCACTGTTTGCTCAGCCTTTTTTTCTTGGAATTCATTTGACAGATTGAGGGCACCGGGGAGGGACTGCCACGATGAAATCAAAAGGGAAAAGGACAAAGATCACCCCTGCAAATCCACACTAGCTCAGCTGTTCAGGTGCTGCTTCCTGGCAAAAAGCTTTGTCCATCACCACCTCTTTTAAGCAGTACTCCAAGTCTAAGTGCATCCAGGTGCTCCCCCAGACCCTATGAGATGCTCTCACCGTCACTCCATCAGATGCCACTGGGAGCCCACCAGAAACTCCTCTCCTGCAGCAGTTCCATGCCAACGTTGTTTTGCCACTCGTATTTGGCCCTGTAATAACGGCAAAATTGTTGCCCTCTGTCAGGTACGTGTTGTTAGACACAGGTTTTTCCATGGCCATCTTTTCAAGAATGAGGTGCCATCCCTGCTTGATTGCTAAATTATCGGTAAATTCTGGAAAACCTAAATAAGAAAAAAAAATCTAAGACACTGACGAGTTAATATGGGAACCTTTACATCACTAAACTAGTATGTCTTGAAATAAAGTGAATTCTTCCAAGCCTACTACAAAAATCATATTCCTAAAAATAACCAAAAAACAAACAGCATCAAATTCCCACCAGTGTCATCAATAAAATCACAATACCTCCACCAACCAAGGGAAAAAAATCTTAACCCCCTCAAAGACTCAACACTGAAACAGAACTCATCCTAACACTTCAACTAACAATACTAAAATAAATTTTCATAACAAATATTCCCTCTATCCACATCACCAATACTACATAAAACAAAGTACTCTCATCACAGCACCCCCGAATCAAAAACCTAAATTGCCCTAAAATCTTTAAAATAATCACAAATTAACCCCAAAATAAAAACTTTAATCTCACTAACAAAAAAAACCAAAACAGGCAACACAAACAAAACCAACACCGTACAACCAACTACCAGCAAAAACAGATGCTAGGCTCTTTCACTAACAGTTCTTATCACATCAGCAAAGTTAGACATAAATAAAAAACAACGCTATTGAACTCCACACAACAAATCACACCAACTATTAAAAAATAATCAGACCAACTCGCTAAACTCAAAACCATTCAACTAACCCTAAACATCAGCAGAAAAAAGCCCCAAAGCCCTACCTTTATGCTAATACCTAAATACTCACCAATACTCTATAAAAAAATTTAATAGCTCATTAAAAACAAAAAACCAATCTAAACTACTAAAAAATTAAAAAGCATCACCCCCAAAAATATACCTATAAAAATCCACCATATAAATGCCTGCCCCCAGAAATGAAACTAAGAAACACAACAGAAAGAAATCCAAACTTATCATCAACACCTAAACTAGAAAACACAACATTAAATAAATAGGACATATACATTATTATACACCAACTACAAACAAAATAAAATGATACAATCAATTACTAAGTCACCTTAAAACCAGTCAATAAAAAACTTTCAAAAATTGAAAACTGCATCTAACAAAAGCCACCTAATTAACACCCAAAACTGAGCTAACCAAACAAACCCTACCCAATCTGAACCCCAACATACAATAAACAAAACCCAGTAATACATATCAAAATCTATTTTAATTGATTCTACCTAAAATACAAACCCATTCATAGAATCATCTTTATTCAAAAAATAAATTTCACATAGTATACAACACAAACAAATCAAACAACACACTGTGTACCACCAAAAAAATCTAATATTGAATAAAAATCACATATAAATATCTCTGCTTACTAAATATTACCGCCACTATTTATATTTACCTGTATCTGCATAAAAGCATATTTAAATTTAATAAACATTAATTTGACCTCTAAGCCAAATATATACAATAAAAAATAAAATGTCCTTAAATTACATTATATTATATCCTCATCATCCGCTTTATGCCCAAACATAAATTCTGTAACTTCAAAACTAAAAAAGAAAAAATTCTTTGAACATACAATCTATATACAATACTAATACAGCCTCACTCAAATTCTCTCTCAACTCTACTGTCTAACACAACAAAAAATGCATTTTTTACTTTTTCAAACTAATTTCTCATTTATTAGTGAATACAAAATAATTACCAGAACCATAACAACTACTTCTAAAACTATTCAACTTTACTCCAATCCAAAAACCCAAGCTACCACCAAAACACCCCACGGCTCAAAAAGATCAACGCCACAGCCCAACTCCAAAAACATCCAAACCACATGTGCAGAAAAACCCTTCTAAAGCTCCTGCTCTTTTCTCCACAACAAAGAAATTATCTAACATTATTCATCCTTTTTTTCCTCTTACCTATGCCCTACTTATTAAAATAAACATTTTTTTTCACTTTTCCTCAAAAAAAAATTCCTTTAAAATCAATTAAAAAACAGACTGAAACCTGACTTCTATTAAGAAACACATTCATTTTAAAACGTTTTTCTCCCCGTTTGTCTCAAATCTTTCCAAAGTTTGGATCCTGTTCCAGTGCACCTGAACCAAATCAACCTGCTCTGGCTCTGGAAACATCAGCAACACCAAACCCAGAGCACGAAGCACCTCGCCCTCCCTACCCCGCTGTCCCTCGGCCCTGCTCTCTCGCATCCTACGCTGCAGAGCGCTGGGAGCCAGGTTCAGCCCTGAGAATTGTCACATCCATTCCCTCAGACATTCCAGCTTCCACGGGGATATTGAGGGGACCCCCTGCTTTCCATTCTCTAGTACAGCACCAAGACAAAGCTCTCACTCGGCCCGCGTCTCCAGAAAATCGTGTGCAAGGCTTAAATAAACCCCGAGGCTTGAGAAATACAGTCTGCCCAAAAAGCCCAGCTCTGCATCCAGGGGAAATGAACATCACAAACAGATTCATGCACCCCAGATGCACGGGACGCTGTCAGCTTAGACCTGCAGTTAACTCGGCAATGGAAAAACCTGAGCTCGAAGCCCTCCTGTGAGGGTGCAAAAGGTATTGGACACAGTTTCTAGAAGGCGCCACATCGTTATTTAAAGGCACAGCTCGGCTAAAGAGCAACACCGACAAAGCCCCGAGACAAAAAGCCCCGAAGGTCGGGCTTTTCCCCCTCCCCTCCTCCCAGTGATTTCTGCCAGCGCACTCTGAAGCTGACAAGCCACAAGTGTTCCCCAGCGGCCCCCGCCGGGACTCGCTCCCGGGCTGGCGCTGCTCCAGGTGCGGGGGGACCGGGGAAACCACGCGAGCCCCGGCAGCGGCGGCACTCAGCACCCGGGGGCAGCCCCACGCTCCCGACCGGAAAGCGGCTCCTCCGGCAGGCGGGGGCAGCTCCGGCCCCGGGAGAGCTCGGCCCACCCAGCGGCACCGGGACCAGCCCAAAGGGGCCCCGGCGGTGCCCGAGCCCTGCGCCCGGAGTGGACAACGAGACCGGAACACAGCTCCACGCCGCGGCTCCCGCCTGCCGGCTCAGCATAGCCTGCCTCTCCTCCACACGGCTCTGTCGCTCCCTGGCAAGAGGAAATCAAAAAGGAAAAGGAGAAAAGCCCCACTGCGAACTCGCACTGGCTTACTTGCTCCGATGCTGCTTCCAGACACAAAGGTTTCTCCCTCGGCACCTCCTTTAAGCAATGCTCCATGTCCAAACGCATCCAGCTGTTCTCCCAGATCCTATGAGATGGTCTCAGTATCATTCCATGAGGTACCCCCAGGGAAGCCCACCATAAACCCCTCTTCTGCAACTGCTCCGTGCCCAAGCAAAGTGAGAGAAACCCTCCCCCTAAAATAGCCCCAGGCAGGACCCACCCATTCTTTACCATAACTGCTCACACCTGGGGCTGCTCTGAGAGCTCATCAACCTCACAATTCAGTTTGTGCTGTTGCCATCCTACGGGTGAGGGGAGGGGCAGAAGGAACTTGTTGCTCATTCCCTGGACAGCTCATTGTCTGCACCTGACACACTGGGGCACCAGGCTTTCCTTGCTATGGATGAGGACACCTCTCCTTCTCCTGGTGCCCAAGGCTGAAAATGGAATTCTACCTCCACAATTCCATGTGTTTGAGTTTCATAATTCCCAATGTAATTCCCCAGGGATCATAAGCTATCACCTCTAATTTTTCCTCTAGAATCACTGCTGACTCGCCTTTCTGTGGAAGTGCTTGAGACATGGATGCAGAGTTCAGGAGCTTGTTTATGGCTTATCCTGACGAGCACAAATGAAATCCAAACACCCAGAATTACAGGGAAATATGGATAAAGTTTATAAATACTCCTCTTCCCTCCAAATCCCTGGCAACCTCCCATTGACCTTTTACTCTTAACCTCTGAATTTTGACCTTTGTCTCTTGACTTTAGCTCTCTGAAGCTTGAGTCCCTGATAATTGACCTTGAACCACATAACCTTGGAAAATTAACCCATAACATTGCACCTTGGACCCTTTACTCTTGATCTTTGAACACTGACCATTCACATGTGACCCTTGAAGTTTGAATCCCTGATTTTCAATTTAACCATTGACCCCTGACCTTTTGCCCTTGACCTCAGCCCTTTGACACTGTCACAACATCAATATTACTGACCTACAGTGATTTCAGCATATGAATGCTACCATAGTTATCTCACCCAGCCGTGTCAATCCCACTATCAGTCTCTATATCCCAGCCCCACAGTGATTTCAGCTCCAGTCCTAGTGACCCTTTCCCTGCCCCAGTGATTTCAGCTCTTGGCCCACAAGCTTTATTTCACTGCAAGCTCTCTTCTTCCAGCTCCAGACGCATGTTTCTCCAATGCTGCTGTCTGAAACTTCCCCAGCTTCAAGGAGCAGGATCTTCCTCCTTTCTCCAGCACGGCAACATTTCAGCTCCCAGCCTAGGGCCTAGAAGCCTACCCCAGAGTCAATATCCCAGCCCCACAGTGATTTCTGCTCCAGCCCCCTTGTCCCTCTCCCAGATCCACTATGCTGGTCCCACCATCATTTCACTGCAAATCACAGTATCCCATTCCAAGCTCTACAGCCTATTTTTCATTTTCACCCTGAATCCAATTGCCACCACCAACATGCCAGCCCCACAGTGATTTCCTCTCCAGCCCTACAGTGGCTATCACAGATCTGGGCAATATCCCGGCATTGCCAGCATTTCAGACCCAACCTTACAGTCCCCTTTTTCAGTCCCACCCATCCTGCTCTATTTCCAGTGACAGGACCCAGCCCCAACGTCCATATCACAGGCTACATGATTCCAGCACACAGATCCTACAGTCCCTGTGTCAGCCCTTCAGTAGCAATCCCATTATCTGTCCCTATCCCAGCCCCACAGTGATTTCAGCTCCAGCCCTGGAGAGCCCTTCCCAGCCCCAGTGATTTCAGGTCTTGGCCCACAAGCTTTATTTCACTGCATGCTCTCTTCTTCCAGCTCCACATCCGCTTCCTTTTCCCCTGCTCTGCTAGATGAAGCTGTTCCAGGTTGAGACAAAAGGGTCTTTGTTTTGGTTCCAGCTCTGTGGTTTCACCTCCAGGCCGAGAAATGCCACTCCAACCCCAAAGCAATCTTTACTGTATTTGCAGCCCTTCTCATTCTATGGTTGCTTCCCACATCTACAGTCACTATCCCCTCAGAACAGCGTTTGCAGCTGCAGCACTGCAGTCCCCATCCCAGCCCCAGTGATTTCAGCTTCAGTCCCACAAGCTTTATTTGACTGCCAGCTCTTGTGCTGCGCTTCTGCCTCCACATCTGTGGAGTGCCACATCATGCTGCTTTCTGGCTCTCCAGGCAGGATCTCTGTTTTAGCTCTAGCTCTCTGTGGTTTGGCTCTCCAGGCAGGATCTCTGTTTTAGCTCTAGCTCTCTGTGGTTTGAGCTTAGCTCTTGAACCCACATTCCAGCCCCAACCTGACCATCCTTACTGCAGGAACAGCTCTGCAAGGCCCTATGCCAGCCCTCACGGTGATTTCAGCTCCAGCCACGCAGTTTGCATCCCGGCTCCTTATTTGCTATCCCAGCCCCACAAGTTTCACCCTAAACCCTACCATATTTCTGTCTCCTCCAGCTCTGCTTCCTCACAGAATTCTGCCTCAGCAGAAAGTAAGACATGGAAAAACAAAACCCCCTTTCTTAACCCTAAGCCATTCCTGACATAACAAAACCCTAACGACGGAGTGCACAGAGAGGGGGTTTTCTTCCCAAGGGAATTTGGAGAGATCAATTCTGGTCCCTTGCCAATACCTACCGTAAAAACCAGAACAACTCCACAGGTTTTTGGATTCTGCACCCAGCCCTCCCAGGGAATTTCCTGGCAGCTTGGGGTCCCCTCTGGGCAAGGGTACCCAGCACCAGCCCTCCCCATTCCCCGCTCACCTTGCTCCTCCAGCGCAGCGTGTCCCTCCCTCTGGCGGGGACCTCGGCGTGCCCCAAGAGACACGGGAGCCCCCCAGTCTCCACCCCGTCCCCCTCAGCCTTTGCTCCTCACCCCCAAATAAGGCACAGAACAACTCCAACTGCCCTGGACAGCAGCACCTTGCTTTATTGGAAGCCTTTCTAGGTCTAGATCCCCTCCCAAAAAGGAGCTGCAACAAGAAAAGGGGGGCAGGTCCCAGAAATCCCTCCCCCGTAACCCCAGGCACAGGCCAGAGGCAGAAAGAGAGAGTGGTGACACAGAGGACACAGGAAGAAAAGAAAGAACAAAAGAATGGGGTGTAGGATGAAATAGATAAAACAAAATAACAACAACAAAACAAAAATACCAAAAGTAACAAACAAACAAACAACCCCACTCAAACAAAAAACCTGGGCTGAGAGGGATTGAAAAAGAACAGACACAGGGAACGGGACACAAGGATCCAGCAGGAAACAACAGCACGGGGATCAGCAGAGAGCCAAAGGGAATAAAAAAGGCACATGAGTGAGGTGTGGAGAAGGACACAGAAAAAGACAGACTGCAGAACACACAGCAAGGACAGAGGGATGCAGAGACAAAGAGGGAAACAAGGAGCCAGAGAGGAAAGGACCACACCAGGCACCGGTGGGGGGAATACGGACAAGGTGCTTCTCCCTTCAGTCACTCCAGCAAGCGCGGCTTCCCTGGAATTTCACATCTCTTCCAAGCACAACAGGTGAACAAATAGGTACTCCCATCATCTCCTTCCTTTGTACTTTAGGCAGCACAGATCTGCCGGGAGAAACAGCAATTCAAGGGCAGATTTAAAAATGGAATTCCCACTTACCATCCTCTCCGCCTTTTCTCCAACTTAGCCCTGGGCTGGGAAACAAAAAGACAACAAACAAATGTTAAGGTGTCTTGAGAATGCCCAGGCCTGGGAGAAAGCCCTTCCCACCACCTTCCTGGCCTTTTCCCACTCTGAGGAGCTGTGGAAATGCACAACCAGACCCGAGGCGGACAGCCTGGGATGTTTTCTGCACACCAAGCGCCACCACCTCCGAGGACTAGGAGCCTGAAGATGCTCTGAATTGCAATTTACAGGGTTTCTCAGGGTTTCTCAGGGCTTCTCTCTCAGTGAATCCTGCATGGGACAAACAAGTACTTTGTGCACAGAGGAAATACAAGTCACTATTTTCAATACTTAAAATATCGCTGATTACAGCAGCGAGCTTCATATGGCCTCCCTTACTTATGGATGTATTAGAAAAAGCGGTTTCAGGTTCCTTCTTTTTGGATCCTAACTCCAAATGCGAAATTTCTCACGACTGCTCCTGAGAGAGGCAATTGAAACTTCAGGAGCTCAGGAAAGCGACTCTCTCCCCTGAGTCATATCTCACCTGCCCGAGCACCCGCGGTGCTTTTATGGCACGTCTCTCCTTGCTTTCCACGTTCATTTAGATGTAAGAAGATTGCAAGCTCTACCTCCAGCCCCAGCCGCATCTTCCCGCCTGACCCGCCTGCTCAGATGCTGCTCCGCTCTGCTGCGCTGCCCCTCGCCGTGGGGCCGAGGCGGGAGAAGCCGCAGGTTTTGTTTCCCGGGAAAGGCTCTGCCGGGCCCCGCAGCTCCTCCCCGGCTCCGTGTCCGCCTTCGCCCG